GAAGTCTTTTTAGACCTTCCAACTTATCTTCACTTAAGCGCATTCTTTCCCGGAATTTCAGGGGGTCGACGCCTTTTGGGTCGAGTGACATTTCCTTCAAAACAAGGAGAGGGGCATAGGCTCGGTTGTCGGAAGCGATAGGTCTCACAGTACATGTTTCTTTGTACTGGCGACTCTTGAGGAGTGACTTTCCGGAAACAGCTCTGAAGAACAGCGGATCCTGACCCGGCTCCGTCACGACGAGGGGCGGGTCGAAGGTGATAGCACCGGCGGATTGCTGCACGCCATCCGAGTCTCCATTGGCGTCTAAGCCAGGCGTGCGACTCTTGCGACGCGACAGCTTTGTCCGCTCCCTCAGCCTGTCTTCGAGCAGCTGCTGCAGTGCACGTTCTTCCTCTGCAGTCGCTGCCTCCTGTTTGCGGATTTCTTCCTGTCGTTCTAGCTCGGCTCGTTGATTGGCAGCGGCCTCCTGCTCCCTGCGTTCCTCTTCAAGACTAGGAAGATCCTTGTCTTGCGCTTGCGCCTCGGCCACGTCTTCGAGGACATCCTGGATGGACACGGCCAGCTCATAGATCATCTCAGAGCCCAGAAGGGTCTTGGGTTTGTTGCGAATGATATCTTGGACTCTTGAGCGAGCACCCTGGCGCAAGTCGTCTAGATTCTCGAGGGAAAGATTCGGAATGGTCTTTGGGTAGGTCGTCGGTAGCTCCACCAGCAACTCTAAATGTACATCGGGGTTGGACGAGGCTCGGAGATGAAGCTTAAAAGTAAGCTCGGACGATTGCTGAATTGACGCAAGTCAGTTTGTTCTCTCTCGCCAAGCATTCGGCTGAAGTATTGTCGAGCATACCTGCCAGGCGGAGCGCCTGTGCGCAACTTCTTCAAAATCATCGCCGTAGATGGAGCGCAGGGCTTCCACCTCGTTTTGGTGGATCTCCTGGTAATTGGTGGGGGCGACTATGGGTGCGGCAAAAGCAGAGGGATTTGGGGAGAGTTGCTTTTTCGCCGCTCGAGGAGAGCCAATCTTGGGGGCATTGTTGAAGTTCTTCTTCTGTTTGTGAGGCATAGCGGGGCGTTGGGCGGTGTGTGGAGTTTAATGTTTGCACCCAGATAGAATTGGCCTTTGCCACGGGAGAATAGTGACAAAGATGCAGCCGAAGCTGCAGCCCTCTACAGCTCAGAAAAGCACATATTCGGAGAATAAAATAGAATTATAGGAAAAGAGGGGGGGGGAGTATAAAGTATGGGAGGTGGAAGGAGGTGAGGGTGGGAAGGGCGGGAGGAGAAGAGAGAAAGGTGGGAGGAATAATGTAAGTGTAGGAAGGAAAAGAAAGACAGGCAGGCCAAAGAGCGGTAACCACACGGACCACACTGGACACTGGACACAGCCTGCACAAAGGCGGAAAGGGTGGAAAGGCGGTAAGTTATGCCCGACTGTGGATCGCCCCGTCATTTTTCCGCTGACCGCCTTTGGGCCTCTAGCGCAGTGGGTGCTGGGGAGAGACTGCGAACTAAAACCAAAGCGTAAACAAAGCACAGCGTTCCACGTCAATTCCCCTGCCGGTCGCGCCCCTCCCACTTGCCTCTCTGCCTCTTTATCGCCAATGATTGTCGCGGGTGTCATGCAATTCTCCTCCAGCCTGCTCATTTAACTCCTTTACTGCCAGAGATCAGAGTTTTCTTCGCTTATGATTCTGCATTCGACATGTTGGGGTGGATCACAGGCCAGGAAGAGCAAGTCGCAGGTAAGTTCTGTCTTATACTCCTACTACTAGTTATACTACCGCTGCCCGCCTTGCGCCGGTGCACGCGCGCGCCGCCCACCCACTCACCACACCACCGCCCCCCCCAAAACCCTCACGGCCCAATAATGCTAGCCATTTTCACCTGACTATATGCAAAGCGCGGTCTCCGCGGGCTGACTTGTTCTCTCACTTCCCTGTTTCATTATCCCAGAAGACCTAGACAACTCCAAGGTTCTCGAGCCACCAGAAACGCCCGCTCCCGTGTTTGCGATTCGCGCCTTCAAGAGTGCCTTGTTTGGTACTCCTGCTGCCAACAACGATAACGAAGACACCGGCAATCGCGCAGTCAAAACAAAGACCGCTGCAGCCAATCACCGACTCGCCGACAATGTTGTTCTGAAACCTACGCAGAACGCAAGAGATGTCCCTCGCGCCACCAGAGCCGACCTTGATCTAGCTATGAACGCGATGGCCTCTCCCACTAAAAGCATCCTCGTGACACCCGGAACTGCCTCCAACCGACGAAAGACAGTTTCTTTTGGTGAAAGTGTGGTGGATAACGAGCGCCAACGTGACGATTTGTCTGCGAAATACATCAAGACACCAGCCAGTCTCGCCAATAATTTCAGCAGCCAATGGTCTTCCGGCTCGTCTGCATCAAAACCAAGAAGCAAGCTTACCCAAGCTTTGATGGATTCACGCGACAAGCCCGCTAAGGGCGTTGACGTTTTTGTTGACTCTACCTCGTCATCCGAGACACAACTCAACATGTCGCAACCGGAAGAGGATGACAACGACGACACCATCAACCTTGACGAACCGCGATCACAGTCTGGGAAATACTGGAAGGCGGAGTACGACAATTACCGGAATAAGACCACCTGGGAGATTAAGAAGTTGATTCAGTATCGCTCGGCGGCGAAAACATACGCTAAGAAGAAGGATGAGGAGGCTTCCCGGTTGGCCGAGAAGCTGAGAGAGGAGGAGATCAAGGTCGCGGAGATGGAACGACATGTCACCCATCTGGCCTCAACCATGGTCGGAGAGAGCACCAATACAGACAAGGAGAAATTAGTGCAGGAACTCACGAAGCAAACCGCATTAGCGTTGCAGTACAAACATCGAGTCAACTCACTGCGGAAAACATTGGAACGTCATGGAGTCGTGGGGCAGGAGACTAGTGAGGTAGCTGATGCTCCGGGAATAACCAGTCCTTCTGAGCCGAAGACTGATAGCATCCACAAGGTCCAGCAGGCTCTGGATCAAGCGAACGCCAAGATCGAGGAAATGAAGCGCCAGCAAGAAGAGTTCAATAAGCTGAAGGATTTGGCGCGCATCTCGGAGCAGAAGGCTTCAGAGTTGCAGAAGGAGAACGCGTCACTCAAGCAGACGCTCGCCCGTGTGAAGCAGGAGATGAGCAAGTACGAGGGGCGTCGCAAAGAGAAGGAAGCGAAATTGAAGCAGCGCGAAGTCAAACTGGAATCGCGAATTCAGGAATATCGAGACCGCTTGAAGTCAACTTCTCAACAGCACCGCCAACACGAGGAGAGCCTCAAAGTGTCTTTCAGTGAGGAGCGCCGCCGGATGCAGGAGCAGGTTGACCAGCTCAGAATCAAGCTCACAGCCATCGAACGTCTACCACAGCTGCAAGGCCGCGCTCGTCGCTCTGAAAGTCCTCGAAAAGACCACACTGGGGTTCACGTTTACGATTTCGGCGTGCACGCTAGCCCCGAAAAAGAATTGCTGGAGGAGACAATCGAGCTCGACGAGCCACCAAGCCCGAGCCCGCGAGCCAAAGAGCGACGCTCATACCCGTCTTCAAGGTATACGGCAGGCGATCTCGACCTGAAACGCGCCATGAGAGCGATGGGGATCAGCGACGAAGACCAACTGGCATTTTTAGGAGGGGAGACTCTCCCTGCCCCCCGCTCCCGCTATCACCACGGCGATGAAGCCGCCGTCCCTCCATCCTCACCTCCAGAGTACCCGTCTGTCGAGCCTGTACGTTCACGCCCAAAGCACAAGTACGACACCAACAGCTACCGGAGCACCCATCCACTCCCCAGCAAATCCACCATCACCTCTCTCGCCCACCACCTCGCCCAAAATCTTGACGACAGCCATCAAATCCGCACCATTAGCACCACCAACGACCGTCTCCGCTCCCACCGCCCCTCCAAATACGGCCTCAATGCCGTCTCTGGCGTAACAGAATCGCACTCATATTCCCTCGACCGCACCTCCAAACGCAAACCCAGCCAAGTCGCCGTGCAAAGAGACTCCATCCCGCTCGACCGCAAACTCTCGGCCCAGGCGCGCCTCAAGCAGCGCAAGGATGAAACCCGCAAACCCAAAGAGCAAGGCAAGGAAAATATCCGAACGTACAACAACCCAACGTTGTCGGTACTCGAAGCCTAGAACGAGAAACAACATAACATTATAATGACGAACCTCATAACCTGCCACGCAGCCAGCCCCCTTTCCTTTTTCCGTCGGTCGTGGCCGGAAACCAGCACGAGATCTAAAATCTTTAACTCCCATTTGTTCTGTCCTTCTTGCTTCCTTCTCCTTTCTGTTCTAATCTTCTATGTTTCGATCTGGTTCACTCGGGGGGAGGAAAATATACCATTGTCAAGGGCGCTACTGGGGGGGGGATTCGGTTTAAAGATCACATTAGCTTTGTTTGCTGCTACAGCCTGTCTTTGTTTTGTCTTGTCTCAACTTGTCATGTGCTTTTCGCTCTCGTCTCTTCCTTTCTACTACCCGTGTTCTGGTTTTTGGCACCCACGGCATTCTTTTTCCCATGTGTTTGTTGTTATGTCTCAAGAGGGACTCGCTCAGAGAGCTACATAACAATATGTGGCTCCGCCTGTCCCAACTGACTGTATGTGCGATGTAAACTTTGGTTTCTTAGTCATTCTCTCGGTGGGTCTACTCCTACCCACACCCTCCTATGCCTTGTCCCTCCTATTGACATCACTATACCCCGAATCAAATAATCAGACCCTCACTGTTGATGACTTACATATCAACAACCATTGTCAACATCATCTCACGTATTAGCATCTTATCGACTTGCATGACTAAACTCGAGAGTATCCTCCCATCTATCTTTCATATTGGGTTGGCAAAGCGAGGTATATATTCCGGTCCGGTCATCCACATTTCGAGAAACTGTAGTGTCTATCTAATTTATTGATCTATCCATCCATCCCCCGCATTTTTCTACAAATCGCAGAAAGATGATCTGAATTTTCACTTCGAGCCTTGCTTGCCATCACTAAACGACACAACAGCCCACTTGCCGCTCCAGGCCCATTTGCGGGCCTCGGCGCCGCCGCCGTCAGGCAGGGCGCGGAGCTTCTCGTCCACGCCGGCAGGGAGACCGACCACGACGTCGGCCTTGCAGGTCCGGAAGGCCATGACGCGGATGCCGGAGTCGGGGCGGCCGAGGGGCCCAATGGCGGTGGTGAAGGGGGTGGTTGGGTCCCAGGTGGACTTTTTGATAGGAGAGTGTTAGATTTGCTTGATGCTTTTATTTGTCTGAAAGGGGGGGGGGGGGGGGG